GAGCGCGCTACCGCTTGAGCCACATCCCCAGCCCCTAAAAAATATTTTTAAAAAAACTGAATTATTTACAGTCTCAGGAGGTTGTCCAGAGGGTTAAATTAGATTATACATATGAAGGTGCTTTATGAACAATGTGTTATCAACATTTAATAATAAAAATTGATAAATCCTTTTATACCCTTGGCTTCCTTTCTTTCCAGTCTTTTGGCATGCCGTGGAAGTTCAAGGACAAAACTATACAGCTGAGCACACCCAGTTCAATTTTTGTAAAGTGTTTTGAAATCCCTGCAATTGCCTAAGGAAGAAGGTGCAACTTCCTGTTTATGACACTCAGGTCTTAAATTTGGGATTTGCAATTAATATGGTTCTTTTTGGAATCCAGTCTGGTGCTTTGTTTCATTTACTTTTGGGAGTACTTCGTTGGCAATCTAAAGGATTTTAGTCTAGATCGGTCACCTTTAAATGTACCAAGATCTCAAGGACCTCTTTACATTCACATGAAAAAGACTCTGTCACATGTTAGTAATTATTTTTCAAGCCAGGAACTGTCTAGTCAAATTTTCTTTGGCCCAGGTCATTAATTCATGGAGTCATAGAAGGCCCATTCTGAAAGAGTTTTTAGCTATTATTAGTCCAAATCTTCTCTTTTTACATACTAGAAAATTCAGGACTTGGAGACTTTAAGAGATTTGTCCAAAGCAAGAGGGGCAGGACTAGGCCTGGACTCTATTCTCCTGCTTTGTCATCTAATTTTTTTTTTTCATAAAGTTCATTGCAAAGATACCATAAAACCATAGAATCCAAGAGGACTTTGAAGCATGTTTTTGAAGTTAAAGAGAAAGCTGAGATCTTAAAGGTGACAGGAACGACTTTGGGATTCTCTTGCTCAGCCTGGCTAAGCGTTTGGTCCCCACCTGCTTCTCTCCCACAACCTTAGCTTCTCTGCCTAGCACCGCCCCTTTCAGGTGGCACACCACTTCCTGGTTAGCCCGCCCGTCAGTCCGCCCGCCCTCCCGCTCCAAGCGGAACCAAAGTGCGTCGTCCCCGGGGTAGTCCGGATTTTTCTTGCTCAGACTCATCTCAGCGGTGACTCGGCAGCCGCGTCTAGCGTCATCAGTGACAGCCCCGACCCTTGCTACGCTTTGCGTCGCTCTGCCAGGAGCAGTCGCCTCCTCGTTGGCAAATAGTCCTCGGCGGGGTCCGAGTTCTTGGGTAATCCGAGGGGGGAAGCCCGAGGAGTTGCAGTCAGAGGGCGCAGGATTGACAAGGAGAGAGAGATAGGGACCGAAGTTATTGAGGTAGTGTGGGAAGTTAGTTAAAAACCCCCTTCCTCCTAAGAATCCCTCCGCCTGCAGTAGCGGTGGTGAGGCCGAGGGAGCCGCCATTTTGGATGTTCGGTTCCTGCTGCCACTGCTGCCGCCGCCCCCGAAGCTGCTGGTTTCATTCGAGGTTTCGGGCCGGTGAGTGTCACTCGCGGCGCTAAGAGCGTATTGTTTCTTTTGCCCTGCCGCTGTCGCGGGCGTATGGCCGGAAGCTTCCTGTCAGTCCCAGGGGTCCGGTCCCAGCCTGTGGGGGGTGATAAGAGAGGACAGAGGTTGGGCCAGGAGGGGCCGGGAGCTCCAGGGGTTGCTCCGACTTCCTCAGGGCCGACCCCGAGGCCTCAGACCCGGAGGTTCCGCGCGCAGCTGCGTTCCTTGCTGTGGCGTTGCCGGGCCAGGGCAGGCCTCCTTGAACTCATTGACTTTCTCAGGCTGCGATCCTCCTCTGAAAGCTTATTCAGGGAGCCCAGGAATTAGCGGGGCGGGCCCCACCCCCGCGTGTCCTCTCGCAGCCACGTATCAGCGTTCTTGTAGCTGGTGTTCAGGTCAGGTCTCGGAACTCTCGGCTTTGCCCCATGCTGAGTTAATCGCGGTCTGTCGGTGCTACGCCGTCCTCTCGGAGCCGGACCTCGGCTTCGTCTCCCTCTATCCTTTCCACTAACTTCTTCCCCAGTTTACCGCCTTAAAACAAAAAAACAAAACAAAACAAAAAACCCCAACTCCCCTGCGACTACGCTCTTCACCCTTCTCTCAAACTCCTCGTCCTGCGGACGTCAGTTTCCACTGACTCTCCCGATCTTC